CGCCCCCAAGGTCACCCCGCGCGCGCCCGCGACTGCGCCTGCGCGGCCCCCACCTGCTGCTATTGCTGCTGTAGCTGCGGAAGGGCCTTCCGGTGCCTCCCCTTGCTGCAGGAAGGCAGCACGCGCACGCGCTCAGGGTGTCCGTGGTACCGTTCACAAGCGCACGAAAACGAAACATATGCGCAGCCCCTCAACGCACCCACCCCCCGACATACACACACACCAATCTGCCACGGGGGTAGTGCTCACAGCCCCTCCCCACGCACCCCCTCCATCAAACGCTAACACCCCCACGTCCTCCAACACGCACGCATCCCACAGCACACGCACACCGCAACACACCCCGCCTCCCCAATCTGCCCAGGAGGTTGTGTTACCTCCTGACCCCAAATAGCCGTGGGTCTGGCCCCCAGCAGAGGGGCAAGACCCTCTAGCCAGGCCTTTTGGGATGACTTCGGGGAAGCATGGGCCCACCAAGTAAAACTATAAGCTCCCCGGGGTGATGGGATCCACTAAGGACATATTGCCGATTCCTTGGGACAGCTGATAAAACAGACAGGACCCGGGATTTGTAGCAAGTGTGCTGAGGGGGGACACACAGCAGCACAGGCAGGACGGTTCCCCCCGGCTCTCTAATGAGTGTGAGGAGCCATTGAACATTGCCCAGTGCAGCTCTGCCTGGAGACATGAGGGAACAAGGGACAGGAAAGTAGTCCCCAAGGGCCCTCCTGGCCAGAACCTCCTTTCCCAGCCAGATGTATTGCGAGCTTAGACTTGGCCAGGAGGAGGTTGACCAGGAGGTCCCAGGGCTTGGGTTAGGGGGGCCCAGATGGGAAGGGCATAATGAAAATGTGTAGGAAGAAGTGCAGCAAGAACCTCAGCAGAAGGTTTTGGAGGAGGTGAAAGAGAGGCTGCAGCCTGGCACGTTCCAGGTAGGCATGCCACGTGCACCAGGGTCTTCCTCTGCTCACAGAAGGGGCTGGCATCAGTAGGGCTGTCCCAAGGTGGAGCAAGTGCCCAGGGCCCTGCGCTTTGGGGGGCCCTCCAGGCAGTGCTGTACAGGCCTCACTGCAGCTGCCACGTGCCTCCACTGCTGAGTGCCACTGGCTCTGCTACGGCCGCTTGTGAGCGCTGCTGACCCCAGTCACTTGCCACCCCCTGGACCCTGCACAGGCTGATATGCCCCAGGCCCCGCACATCCCTAGGGATGACTCTGGGTGTCAGAAGTGTGGAGGCTGCTCCAAGATGCTGGAATTCCAGCATGTCGGAGCAGACTGAATCAAATCTGCTGGAGCATGGCAATTACTGCTCTCCAGTATCCTCCTGCCTCTCATGCATCAGCATCCCCGCACTTAAAAATAGTGACGGGGCATTTGAACTAAAGTTCATTGAACAAGCTTTATTTCAAGTGCCCTCACCATCATTTTGAAGCGTGGGGACACTGATACACGTGATGCAGTGGCGCTTTAATTAGCGCAGGTCTAGGTGCCACTCTAAATAAAACACCACCCCCCTGCACCACCAAAGTACATATAGAACTGCATAGGGGCACTCTAGCCAGGAACCTGGCAGAAGTCCCAGCAGGAGCTGAGTCTGGCTCCTCTAAACCTTCTCCACCAAGAAACAGTCCACTGTATGCATGCACGCGCACACACACACACATTCTCTCTCTCTCTCTCTCTCTCTCTCCCTCCTTAAAACATGGCTGTTGCCCTCCAAGCAAAGTGATGACTTCCATCTGGACAGTGCCAGGTCTGTCCTAGAGGCCACATCACTGATGTGCACCCTCCGGGATGGAGCCTGGATGTAGAGGTAAGAATTAGAATGGAAGAACTGCCATTCACTGGCTCAGCCCACAGGGCCATATTGCCCAGCATCATTTCTACATGTTATGCTTTCAGTTCCCTTGTGAAGACATCCAGCAGCCAAAGGAGGCACCAAGCAGCACCACCAGATGCTGTACTACATCTATAGCACGGCCAAGCCAGCCATCCACTGCCTGGCCTGCTGAGGGGCCATGAAGTGCATCTCAGGGCTCATCTATGAGGAGACCCACAGGGTGCTGAAGATTTTCCTGGATGCTATCACCTATAGCAAGCACGTTAAAAGGAAGACTGACCACCATGGACATGGTCTATGCCTCGAAATGCCATGGTTGCACCCTGTACCAATTCAGTATCTAAGTCTCCAGTAGCAAAGACACACAGTGGCAGACAGTGGATGCAGAAAGGTAGAGTGAACTGGGTATGACTAGGGTTTTTTCCACTCTTCCTCCCTCATTTGCAGCCTCCAGCATTTAAGGCTTAGGAAGCTCTGATTCAGAGCCTGCCCCCCTCACTCCCATGCTCAACTGCTACTGATGCCACTTTCCTCCAGAAATGTGTCCAGTCCCTTGTTGGGAATCCTGGGCATCCTGACCATCATGTGAATGCAGAATAGCAAGGAGAGTCTTTAAAGCAGAATGAACTGCTAGTTGGTAACGTGTCATTGACCTCCCTGTCCCAGTAAAAGTTGCAAAGGAGCCCCTGTATCTGCTGACAAAAAAAGCCACTATGATGGGAACATATGGATAGAAGAAGTTGAAGCGTTTTTGCTCAAGCCCCTGTTTACATTTCCTTTACAGCCCTCTGGATTTTGGCAGGATCAGAATTTATTTTTAACTGTGTAAGAAATGAAAATCTGTTGTGCTTCCATTAGAAAGAACGCATATCCAGGGTACTCAGAACTGACGGTACAATACAAGGAACTTATGCATTCCTCTTCTCTCCTATGATCACTATCCCATAGCTGTAGTTCAAGTCTCTGTTCTTTTTAAATTTCGAAGGGAAAAATTAGTTTGCCTTGGAGACTACAAGGATAGTTGCCTTGGCTCATACCTTTGACTGCATCACCTCTTTTATCTACCCCTTCAGATTCCCTTTCTCCATCACATGAAATACAAACTATAGTTATTTTGAAGTACCTGCAACTTTATCTATCTTTCTAGCATAACATTTCAGTAAAAAAAAAATGATATATTTCTAAAAGTCCAAGAGTAATGGAAATGTCTTACTAAAATAATACATGGACTGGAATATTCCTTTGATGAAGACTTTGATGTGACAATACTCACATCATCATATATTCAAGTTAATGCAGCATCTTTATGTGATGTTAGTTGTGTCTGTAGTGAGAACAGTTTAGCTGCCCCACTGGATTGAGTAGGAAAAGGCAGAAGGTTGCCTAGAAGTGGTGTGCCTAATATTTCACTTAGTATCAGACTGTAAATTATTACCCCTTAAACAACTGGCAGGCCCTGCCATTATATCCCCACCCTCTCTATCTCCTGTGTACAAAGCAGGTACCTACCTCTGCTTTGCTATTGATGACAGCTTACATGGTTTTTACACTTTCAAAAAAGCACCTTTTGCATGGGGGAAATCCCCACAAGGCCTCTTTATCATCCCCCTTCAAAACCATCCTTTCAACTCTCCTTTGATGCTTACAAAAATCTTAAGGTAACCAGCTGACATGCAAGACCAACCTGCAGCTTGCTAGGCTGATCAATCTTGATTCCTTGTTTCATGTGCTCCTATTTTTTATCTTGCATTCAAAATTATGTCTTTTCACTGTATGCTTATAAGGTACCTACCACAATAGAGTCTTGAGGTATACTGGGACATATGTATAGTACAACAGCAGTACAAGTAATGAAAAGCTTGCAGAAGAGGGCAGCTCCATCAGTGCTACCCATGAGGGAGCAACCATCTCTAGAGATTAAAGGGTTCACTCCTAGGCTTCTCTGAACTTGCTAACAAAAGGGCCAAAGCATTATGACTGTTATAGTGATGTGAAAGAGGAAATTAATTGAAATGCATGAACTGTTTCACGCTGGCACTTACACTTATCAATCATTACCAATCTGGACTAGTTATGAATCAGTGACTTAAATGTTAAAAGCTCCATATTTAAATCCCATTCCCCTGAGACTACAGTTCCTCTAAAAGCGTCCAGATCTGGCTGTCCAGATCCTTGGATCTTTGATTACAGCAAAATAGTCCCTTTAATTGAGAAATAATCCAGCCAACAAACAGGAGTTTGTTTTTAATTCAAAAGTACTTAAAAACAAAAAATAAGTTTTTAAAAAATATGGTTAATAATCGGTTTTATCATTCTAGATGACTGACTCCTCTTTAAAAACAATCATTCAAGCTTTTAACAACAACAACAAAAATCCACTACTGGACAGTTCTTCACTTATCAAGTTAATTTTAAAATCTGATTTAATTATTTTATGTGCTGGAATTATATCAGTCCAGCCAGTGGCCCTGCAACTGGTGCTCCAGCTACCATGTCTGGTCCATAGTGCCTTGTTCTAGGGGCTAGCAGTGCTGTCCAGGCAGCATGGTCAGGCAGGTGCTCGAAATTTGCAGCCCCACAGTTTATCAGGATGATGAGATTGTGTGTTTTCTCTTCCTTTGACATACTTGCCAAAGGAGAGAGAGTAAGCTGTTGCCTTGGTCTCCCTTTTTCCCATTGCTGTGCTTCAGACCAGTCTTAGCACTTTGCTTCACTCTGCTGTGAGCTCTTCAGAGGTTGTAAAGAGGAGAATCCCACTGACACTCAACCATTTCACAGGCAAAACTAGTGTTCTGGGAGTCAGCCAAGCTGACAGCATTTGTACAGAGATTACATGGATACAAAAGGAGAGAAACAGACACACATTTAAGATAAGCATCCAAAGGAATGCACAGAATAAAATGTCCATTCAGCTCTCCCAGGTCAGAAAGTGTGGCCTTACTGCAAGACCTTGGCTGTGTCCAGATGAGCTGGGACATTTAGTTCCCCAGAGATAACTATCAGCGGCACACCTTGTGTCACTGCTAGTTGTCCCTGGGAAACACCTGTTCCATGCACCCCTTGGTGGGTGGCAGGTTACCCTGGGTGGGGTAGGGGAGGCTAGGACCAGCAACTGCTGACCCCAGCTGCCTGGAATAGACTCCCCACAAAGGTGTTGCAAGCACCTACTTCAGACACTTTCAAGAAACACTTGCATGCCTATTTTGCTGGGATCATTTGATCCCAGCTACTTCCTGCCCCTTGGACAGGGGGCTAGACGATGATGTAGTGAGGTCTCTTCCAGCCCTAATGTCTGAAATCTTACCTGGGATCCTGGGGGTACAGCTCCAGCTGGCCAGGCTCATTTTGGGCACTGTGTGCTGCCTCCACATGCACCACCCTTTTTTTTCTGTGCCAGTTTTTTTGACCCCTGGATCTTCAGGGTTCAAAAAGCCACCCCCCATGCTGCAAGGTAGAGGCAGTGCAGGAAATGCCAAAATGTGCAGTGTGTGGCACCACGGACGGGTTTGCGGTGCCGCATACTGTATGGCCACGCTTGTCTGGATGCAGCCCTTAAAAGCAAATGCAAGTAAAGGAGAGCTGTATGCGAAGTGAGAACACTGCCTTACAACTGCTCCCCTCACCTCAGGACTACAGTGCATGCTATAAACGTTGACTCTCCATTATACACATGGGTTATGAGGTAGGAAGTTTGCACAAGTGTTCAACTGCCCATCTTGGCCTGAGCATCTGAGCTCTTACAAAATCACATAAACCTACAAAAAAGAAATTATATTCCAAATTCCCCATAAAACTAACCTAAACCCCCAATATCTGCTGCTGACAAGAAATGCCTGTCCCCTGACCGTCATCCCATTACTAAAATAATGGTGACAATTTGCCAAAAATAGAAGTAGTACAAGGGAGGTACAGGAGGACTAAACGGTCCTCGGTCACAGAGGTGTTATAACGCCAAGGATTCCATGGACTGCAATGGAGTTTAGGTCAGGTCCATAGCGAGTCAGAGGTAGGTGGTAGCAGCACCCAGTTCCCTGCTCTGAGCACTAAACACAGTCATTTCATTATTTATCTATATTATCTAGGAGTTTAGGTCTAGCTAATGGTGTTATAGATATTGTATGATGAGATCGGATCATACAGGAATTATTTTAAGTTCCAATTCTTCTGTTTACTATAGTTTTAGTGTATGGGCTGTGTTGAAAGGAATCTAAGATGAGTAATCTTGGGATTTCCATAGTGATCACCAGCTACAGGCCTTGAATTGGAGAGAATCATAATAGCCTTTTAAAGCTCCGTTTTCAAATGCTTGGAGACAACATCGCAGTTCTTCTTCCTTTTAACTTTGTAAGTCAGGGTTTTAGAATATTCAGTCAACAGATTCTCCCAGTAACAAGAGACATCCTCCATCCGCAAGTGGTCTGTGATAAACTGGCGCCCTCTGAAGACAAACAAAAATATCAGACCAGAGTCAATTCTTGGTCCCTACAAAAAAAAAAATCCTTTGATTCAGGGGTTTTTTGCCAAATCAAATCCTTTTGATCTGGCTTTTGCTGACTGGTGTCTGGGGTTGTCATACATTTTTGAAGAGCAACATGCAGTACTTTTTTATAAATGTTAAGCTGACTTTTTGTTAGCACTGAAGCCTCTAAAGACTGAAATGTCTTGTGAATAATGAACAGGAATAGTCTGGAGGATATCAGTACAAGCTTTCCCAACACTGGCTTACCCACGAGCCTTGACTTTTTCCTTAAGAGCACCAGATACTACAACCAGTGGTGGCATTTTTGTGATGTGGACATTTGTTCACTGAAGTTAGCACATTTTACAAAGCGGCCTAAAGTTAAGACCCTCTGGCTCTTGGGAGAGGGGATGAAGGGCCTACAGCATCAGATCTGAACTAGAGGCCATAATGTGAAATGATGCTACTCTGTCAGTAGTGTAAACCATACAACTTTGCTGCTTATGATAAATACACTGTTCACTGTTATCACAAGGCTGTCCTCTACAGGTTGCACTGCTCACTGATGAAACAGGAAAGAGAATTCCCTGCATCAGGAAGGATATAAAACTTACCTCTCTGAAATTTCTTGTGCTATATCATCATTTTCCTTCACCAACTGCAACAGTTCCCTAAAATGAAGACAACAGGTAGCAGGTGACCACAGCATCAAGGTAGAATACTGCAACTCTGGGCCAGGCTACTGTGGCAGAGATGGATTTGTGGGTTCTCAAATATCATGTACTACCGGTGTTGGTAATATAACCAGGAATACATTTGTAGTTTGCAGCAACGGGCAATTCTGAGGGAGAGAAA